ACTAATAATACGGAACCACTTTGCCCTCTTGAAGCAGAAGCAGCAGCTGCTGAAGTTACACCAGTGAAGGGCTCCAGAATGAACCCATCACGGCAAGCCCAGGGCGGGTATAACTAACCCTCCTGCCCTCCTCCTCGGTACTATCGCTGGCAGCTCTCTCTTCTCCTGCAGTCAGTGCTTTTCTCCCAACAAGCTTTACAAACGGCGGTGGTTCTGAATAGAAACAAACAAAGCTGAAAACCACCAGAGCATCTTCTGCTCTAAAGTAGCTATCTACCAAAGCCTTTGACATCAAATAAACCAGTAGAGACTTCTCTTAGGAAGCCTACCTTTTTTGACCTGTATGTTAGATATTTAATCGTGGGCAATTAACAGGGCGGGAAGATTCTTTTTTTTTATTCTTTTCAAAGGCCTTTTTTCTTTGGAGAAAACAATTGCATTTTGCATAATTAACTCTTCACATGATACTAGAACTGAGCAACTATTCCTTTAATTGCACCTGGAATCCAGACAGTTGGAGGCCATCCTTTTACAACCCGTTTATTACTTTCTCTTCTACTTGTGCTCTTTGTACTTGTTTCTGAGGTTCTGGGAGATGGTGAAAGTGCATTTCTACTAGTCAAATTTCTTTCTAGGAACTGACCTGAGAAAGAAATCCCAACTAAAAGTATTTGACATTCAAGAGCTCCATTTATTTTCTGAGGACTTTAATACTTAATACAAAAAACCCCCCAAACCCCCATTATTATTTATTTTAAAAGAAGGCAAAAAGAAGTATCATCAATGAACACTAGCTATGCCAATTATATTTTAACATTGCTCAGAAACAGGATCCAGGACATAAAAAAAAAGGAGCCAAATTAATCCCACATGCTTTTCGGAGACATATAGATAAAAGGTATTTTTCAGTATCGTGGTTTTGCTCTTCAACGACTTAGGTAACACAGTGAATGCAAAAAAAATATAACTGTAAGCCTGCTAAAACATGGCACCGTACCTCACATGCAGCTAACCACACAAAGCAAAGGTCATAAGGAATAATCAGACCTCCTGTTATCAGCAAAGCTACGTTTGATTTGGAAAACTGTCAAGACTGGCTGTAGCTCAGGCAAATGGCGCATCCACCTCTTTCCGTCCAGCGGAGAAAGAAAAAGCCAAAGTTACTACAGAGCTGAACAACTTAAATGCATATCTAAAAAGGGCGTAACCAATGCTATGCTATGAAACTAAAATAGTTACAGCATATTTATATGCTTTTAAATATAGTTAGCAGTATTTCCCATTCCCTCCACGTGGAACTCAGAACATCTAGCTACAAAATTGACCCCCTCCGCGCCCCCCCCCCCCCCGCCTCTCCCTCGCGCACCGAA